GTTGTTGGGATCCTCTTTTTCCCCTTTTTGAAGATGGGGACAATGTTGGCTCTCCTCTATTCTGCTGGGACTTCTCCTGTTCTCCAGGAGTTCTCAAAGATTATTGCCAGTGGCTCCAAGATTACATTTGCCAATTCTTTTAATATCCTTGGATGTAGTTTATCTGGTCCTGGAGACTTAAATTAATTTAGGTTAAGCAGGTATTCCTGTACTTCCTCTTTACTTATTTTGTGCTGCATTTCCCCTATTGTGTCCTCTGCTCCATTTTCCTCAGGTTGAACACCTTTTTCCTTTTGCCATGTTGACCATACTCTGGTCTTGCTTAGCCTCATGTGTTTGGTTTCCATTTGGGAATTGTTGGAGGCTATGACTATGGTTATCCAATTAAAACATGCGGAGTGATAAAATATAAACTAAAGTATGTGCCTTCAAGTTACCTATTGACTTATGGAAATCCCATGAATTTCATAGATTTTCTTAGAGGTAGGTTGCTGTTGCTTCCTCTGAATATAGCCTTTTTATTATTATTGCGCCTTCAATTTATGATGATGCTAAGTTGACCCTATCACGGAGTATTCTGGGGTTGAGAGTGTATTGACTCACCCAAGTTCATTCAGTGGGTTTCCATGGCTGAGCAGGGAATCGAACTGTGGTCTTCAGAATAGTAGTCCAACATTCAGACCATTACATCACACTAGCTCTCATAAATATAGCCTACAGTGTCTGACATTACCTGGTGGTCTCCCTTCCAAGTAGTAACCAGGTCTGCTTAGCTGCCAAGATCAAATGGCATCAGGTGCCCTCAGGATAGTTAGGCAATTTGAAATCAGTGTGTGGATTCAAAACTCTGTTGTCAGACTTATAATGAATTGTAATGACAACAGGTTAATGTGGCTGCTCTTTAAAAATGATTTTTATATTTTATCATTGTTAAAAGATTATAAAACAAAACAAAACTATGGGTGGAACCAATTTTGGCTGGAAAGTGAGGTATAGATATACAGAATAAATAAACTAATACAAACAGTCACTAAGAATTTTGACAATGTAGTGATCACAAGAGTGTCCTGTAGATCAGGTTGGAAGGGGAGGTGAAGGTCTGATTCAAAACTCACTTTTGACATAAATACTGGTTGAAACAGTATGATTATGTTTGCATTTTTTTAAAAAAAGATAAAATAAGAGTGACAGGTTGCTGGTCATAACTTGTACTCAACTTCAATCAGCAACTACTATGTTCAGTCTCATTCACACAGCGACAAGCTGAAACTGGTGTTGATCTGAGGAAAAGAGGCCATGCAAAGCCTCTAGCACTTGGAAGAATAAAAATAAAAAACAGGAGCAAAGATGTACAAGGGTGTAATGGAGATGAAGCCTTTTGCTTCATGCTTTGGTGACTGTAAGAGCTCCACTTTCACAGAGATGCTGATGCTGGCAGTTTAAGCCTGTGTTGTTGACTTTAAACAAGCAATATAGTATGTATCCCAAAAGTTATATGAAGGAAATAAATGACATCATGACTCAGGTTTAGCTCTGAGTGGAGAGAGGCAGAATTTTGTCCTCAAAGAATAAAGGAGTATGAAAAAAGGAGGCAAAGGAGGAAGCTTTAAAGAAGGCCAGGGTTAAAATCCTTGTTCAGCCATCGAAACCTACTGGGTGACATTGACAAGTCACACTCCCTCAGACTAAGACAGAGGAGTAAACCTCCTCTGAATTAATCTTGCCAAGAAAATCCTGTGGTAGGGCCACTATAATTTGGAGTTGAAGGCACATTACAATGGAGATTTTCCCATGGGGATGGGATAGGGACGAGATCGCTCCTATCTTTAATCCATCTGTGACTGCGATGGCAGGAAAGGCTTTCAAATTGTCGTGCTGATCCCACCATTAACTTGTCATTAAAGTGGCATTGCATTAATGCAAACTTCCATTAATGCAAAATGCTGGCCATTGTCGCTTTAATGACAGGTTAATGGTGGGATAATGATGGGGTCTGTGCAACTTCATCTGAAAGCCTTTTGTGCGATCGCCATCATTCACACTTCTCGGATGGGATAAGCACAAATCCTGTCTATAAGTCCTTCCCATGACTGCACGGGAAGGACAGGATAATCTCCAATGACAAATGCAACAATATCACTCAGGCTCACTTAGAACTACTTGTAACTGGCTCAGGATTTCTGAAAAAGAAATCTCCAACCATCAAGATTTGTCTACTGGTACCATCACAGGATAGCAATGACAACCCCCCTCTGCAGAAATTTGCCAAGAAAACCCTGTGTTAAGTTTGCCTTAGGGTCATCATAAATCGGAAAAGACTTGAAGGCACACAACACACAAACCATCACAAGAACTTTGTGCTGAGCAGAATTATAGGCTGAGTCTTTACTTCCTTTGAAAAATTGGATGATCAGTCATCTGCTTTGCTGATGTAGATGTGTCATGTTGTTTCGAGTTTCTCAAAAACAAGTCATGTCAGACTAATCTGATCTACTTTTTTGTTAAAATTATCAGTTTGCTAGATGAAGGGAATGTGGTAGACATAGCATATCTTGATTTTAGTAAGGCTTTTGACAAGGTCCCCCATGATATTCTTGCAAACAAGATAGTAAAATGTGGGTTAGACAAGACAACTGTTAGGTGGATTAGTAACTGGTTGACTGACTGAACCCAAAGGGTGCTCAGCAATGGCTCCTCTTCATCCCTGGAGAGAAGTGACCAGTGCCACAGGGTTCTGTCCTAGGCCCAGTGCTATTCAACATCTTTATCAATGATTTGGATGAAGGAATAGGGGCATGTTTCTCAAATTTTCAGATGACACCAAATTAGCAGGAATAGCTATACCCTAGAGGACGGGATGAAAATTCAAAATGACCTTAATAGATTAGAAAGCTGGGCCAAAGTTAACAAAATGAATTTCAGCACATAGAAATGTATGATATTGCACTTAGGGCAAACAAATAAATAAAATGAAATGCATAGATATAGGATGTGGGACACCTGGCTTATTGTGACTATGTGTGAAAGGGATCTAGGAGTCCTTGTAGATCACAAGTTGAACATGAGTCAGCAGTATGATGCTGCAGCTAAAAAGGACAATGCAATTTTAGGCTGCATTAATAGAAGTATAGTATCTAGATCAAGGGAAGTAATAATGCCACTGTATTCTGCTTTGGTCAGACCCCATTTGGAATACTGTGTCCAATTCTGGGCACCACAAATCAAAAAGGATATTGAAAAAAAAAGAAAAAAGGAGCATGTCCAGAGGAGGGCGACTAAATTGGTGAAGGGCCTGGAAACTATGCCGTACGAGGACTGCCTTAGGGAACTGGGTATGTTTAGCCTGGAGAAGAGATGATTAAGAGGGGATATGATAGCCCTGTTTAAATATTTGAAGGGATATCATATTAAGGAGGGGGGTAGCTTGTTTTCTGCTGCTCCAGAGAACAGGCCCTGGAACAATGGATGCAAACTACAGAGGTTCCACCTCAACATTAGGAGGAACTTCCTGACAGTAAGGGCTGCTCGACAGTGGAACACACTCCCTTGGAGTGTGGTGGAGTCTCCTTCTTTGGAGGTCTTTAAACAGAGGCTGGATGGTCACCTGTTGGGGATGCTTTTATTTTGAGTTCCTGCATGGCAGGGGGTTGGATTGGATGTCCCTTTTGATCTCTTCCAACTCTATGATTCTATGATTCTATGATGAGAAGCATCAGCCAGCTTCCTTGGGTCCCTTGTTTGGAGAGAGGTAGGCTTTAAATCCATCAATCAGTCCATCAATCAATCCATCAATCAATCCATCAATCAAACAAATAAATAATGTAATGATTCTTCAGTCATTCCATCCTCTTTCAGAGCCTTCTGGCCAATTGAAATTTATCATATGGGAGTCTTTTAGAGAAATGCTTTGTAGAGTATTGCATAATATTTGTATGCAGTAAAACTGAGTTTTAGCTTTTCCCAGTTGTGGTTTGGATTCCTTTTCCTAGGTACGTAATCGGTTAACCTGTCCCTGGCAAACTTTCACACTGATCAGATTCTGTGCTTGCAAATGGGCTGTTGTGCATATACATAGGTTGAAATAGAGGCACTGTTTCTGCATTTCTATGCTATCAAACATCTCTGGTGGGTAAGTATTAGAGGGACATGGTGGCTTAGTGGTTAAGGTGCCAATTCTGATGATCAAAAGATCAGAAAGTTGACAGTTCAAGGCCGAAGCGCTGTATGATGGGGTCAGCTCCCAGCACTAGTCCCATCTTCTGCCAACCTAGCAGTTTGAAAACATGTAAATGCAAGTAGATAAATAGGTACCACTTTGGTGTGAAGGTAACAGCTTTCGGTGCAGTCATGCTGGCCACATAAGCAGTCCTCAGACAACGCTGGCTCTTTGGCTTAGTAACAGAGATGAGCACTGCCCCCTACAGTTGGTTTCAACTAGACATTCATATCAGGGGACTACCTTTACCTTTAAGTATTAATGGCACTATATAGGCCCTTCTAACACTCCCATCTATAGAGCTGCTGCATATCTTCTAGAAGGGGCTGATTTCCTTTCGCAATGACCTGCTATGGAGAAAAGGTTCAATATCTCCCTGGACCCCAATCAGCTTGAATTAGAAGGATCACAGGGATCTACAGCGGCCAAGCATTCCCCTTCCCATTCATAGTGATGGCCTGAACTGATAAGAAATGTGCTTGCTAGAAGATGACTTTCTGCTCTTGTAGGAAGACATAGTGATAATGGCCTAAATCTTAACTGCATACCCTCCATCTGTTCCATTTTTTGCAGGGACTATTCTGGTTAATCCTCTGCCATCAGGTTTCTTCACTGTCCAACTTTTAAAACCATACACAGAAATTGTAAGTACTATGGTCTGGATGATTCTGACTTTTGTATTTAATGATATGTCCTTACACTAGATTCTAGTGTAAGGACATATCATTAAGCTAGATGATCTCAATAAGTTCCTATGATTGCATTTCCAAGTCTTGTTTCTGCTGATTTCTTGATTACAGTTTCCATTTTGATTAATTGATTAATGACTGAACAAAGATACAGGAAATCTAACTATTTCAGTGTCTTAATTACCCACCTTGACATATGTAAACCATTTTCTGGTCATTATTTTTGTCTACTTAATATTCAGCTATGACCTTGATTTTGTACTTTCTTCATTAACTTTCATTAGTAATTGTTCCAGGTTTTGCTATTTTTCTGCTAGTTGCATGGTATCAACTGCATATCTTGTTTATGTTCCTTCCTCCATTTTTTGCACCTCTTCCTTCTGAGTTTAATACTGTTTTCCCTATAATATGTTCTGCATATAAACTAAATGGATAGGGTGATAAAAATGCAGCCTTTTCTGACCCTCTTGACAATGGGAAACCATTATGTTTCTCCATATTTTGTCCTGACAGTGGCCTCTTGTGTAGACTATAGGATACTCATCAGGACAATCAGATATTGTGACACTTCAATTTCTTTTAGAGCAAATCATAATTTTTCATTATCTGCATCAGGGGTGGACAACTGTGGAAAGCCAGGGAGCCACATTAGCCCGCACTGAGAACATGGAGGGCTGCACCACCTGCAATAAATAAATAAATAAATCAAAAGTATTTTTTGGGCACAAATTACCACAAACACCCTGTGGGAGAATGGAGAGGCCTTTTAACCAGAGGGGCTTCCTGGTCCTTTT